GGGGCTGGTATCTCCCATAGCATCACTTCTCCTTTTAGCACAGGAGTCAGAGGTCACTTCCCATCACTCTTCTGCCGTCTCAGCAGGGCAGGAACATTACCCAGCTGCACAGGACACTGTGCAAAGCACCCTTCCTGCTCCGAAATCTGCTTTCCACTTCCCTCCTTTAAGGCTGGCCCTGAAACCCGTCTGCTTCCCTCAGCGGTTTTTGGGGCTGCCAGGCACTGCCCTGCCCTGGTGCTGCGACACGGCCCACCCAGCAGTGCCCCCCACAAAGCCTGCCTGACCTGCTGGGCTGTCCCTGGCCTGGGGAAGGACAGAGGAACACGGATTTCCCCAGAGGACGCTGATGGAGCAAGGACTTGATAAAGGCTGGGATGTTCAGGATGAGACTGTGCAGTCAGCAAGACATGGAGAGCATTTTGGGGATTTACTGGGGATCTCAGGCGCTGGATTCCTTGGAAACCACCTGCCCTCAGCTCCCCAGCACAAGGGGAAGGTTAACAAATAATTGCAGAAGCAACAGCATCGCTCATTAATGCCCCAGCAAAGCCAGGGGGAGCAGTGGTGCAGCATTTCCCCTCCCAGGGGCACAGACTCCCTTCCACACGATTCAAAACCCCTCCTGGCACGGGAAAGGTGGTGGTTTTGCAAGGGAATTATCCAAGAGGTTGGTGTCAGACTCCCCTTTATCCTTACCCCCAGCTCTGCTTTAGATTTAGTACACTGCTTTAGTGGCAGGCAGCTGTTTTTTCAGGCCTGACCATAAGAGGCAAATTTAAAAATCCCAAAAGCCCAGCTCCTATGCAAAGAAAATCCCTTGGATGGCCACAAAATCCCAGCAGGTTTGGTGTGTGCTGGTGCTGAGCAGGGAAGGATCCACCCACAAACTCCTGGTCTGAGCATCTCACCCAAGAGATGGGTCACCTTATGGTGCAACATGAACAGGTGGCAGATTTGGGGCTTGGGCTGTGCTTTCCCTGGGGCTGGGCTTAGTGTAGGGAAGCAGCTCCTGAAAACAGGAGGAAAACCATCCAAGCTGCACCAGAGTCTCCTCAACGAGGCTGGGAAAGCTGTGTATGGATTACCAGGAGCCAGGATGGTGACACAGGTGAGGATCTGCTCAGTCCACTGTGATGCTCCTCAGCATCACATTCCCAAGTGCTTTTGGTGTCCAAAGCCAGTGGCTCCTCGGCCAAGAGTTCCACCCTTGCCAGCAGCAGCCTGGCCTTCTCCTGCAGGTACCACCTTGCTCCTCACCCCTTATCCCTGAACATCCCAAGTCCTTGCCTAGGAGCAGGAATCCCATCCCACGGGGCTCATGGCACCCTGAGGACAGACAGACAGATCCCAGGATCCTCCCCTGGGAAGTCCCTGAGCCTCTGTGCCCGTCCACCCCACACAGATCCCAGTGTTTCCTAATTCCACACCACATCCTCCGATCTGGGGGCTGTCCCCTGTGGCCTGGGCCTGCAGGTCACACCTCTGCAGGGATGATTCAGTGACCAGCCCTCCTGGGTGAAGCTATTCAGGGCCCTGGAGAATATTTAGAAAAAAATTCCTGCTGTTGTTTTTGCTGGAGGGAATAACCCTGGGGGCTCCAGCAGCTGTGACCCAGCCCTAAACCCACCAGCAGCTGGGTTCCACACCTCCCACAGGGTGTTTGTGCAGCCAGGAGGGATTTTTTGGGAGCTTTTGCACAGAGGATTTGAGGGGGAAGCAGGGAGAGGTGAGGAGTCCCAAGGCAGGACCCTGCTTTGCTCATCCCGACTCAGGAGGGTCAGGATGACACATCACACCCCATCCCAGCAGCAGGGATGGCTGGGAGACATCCCAGCACACGGACACAAACCCTGCTCCCCAAACCCTGCGCCCTGGGCATCCATCCCACACACCAGCAGACCCCAAATCCCACGGGATCGTGGCGCTGGCAGCGCTGCCTGACGGGAGCAGGAGCTGCTGGTGGGCTGGAATCAGCAGCCATATGTCAGCCAGGCTGGGGAACGAGGTGTCTTCAGCACGGGGTGAATCAGTACCACAGTCTGATATTCTTCTCCTGAATTAATTAAGCAGCAATCTCGCCTGCCTTTGTCTTCACAGCTATTATCTGCTTGTTGCAAAGCAGCTCCTGGAAGCGCCATCCCGATGGGAGTGTGGGAACGAGTTCCCAACCCCCCCACCCCCCTCCTTGGCTGGCAGACTCATTCCCCTGCCACACGTGGGGAGGTGGAGGTGGGGAGGTGGGAGCTCCCCTGGGCACAAAGGCTCTCACACCTCCAGCTCCGGGATGGCCTGGTGGGAGCTCAGTTTGCAGCCAAGGTCAGTAATGCCCCCTCAAAACCCTGGGCACTTGTAGGGTCTCCACACCCTGGTGCTTCCCAGCTCACCCCCTTGGGATCCAGGTGCCCAAGGGATGCCCAGCCACGGGGCTGAGGGCTGCAGAGAGGGCAGCTTTACACCACCACTGCCTCTGTTCCCTTTTGCAGCCACCACTGGCCTGTTTTACCTCCTTCCCTGGGATTTCAACACCAGAACTCGCCGGGAGTTTGGGTGGGAGGGGAGGATGTGCTTTGCCTCTGCCAGCAAATCCTCCTGAAGAGATGCACGAGACTTCACCGAGGCATGGATGTGCTGGCTCCAGTTCCCAGCTGGGGAAACTGAGGCAGGGAACGAGGGAATAACCCCCTGCCTGGGAAACTTCTGCCTGGGGTGGACGTGGGGACAACCACAGGTGGGTTGTGCAGAGTCCCCGTCCCCGTCCCTGTCCCAGTTGTGGACTGAGACCAGTCCTGGGAAACCGGAGCCGTAGGAGGGAGAAACCCCATCCTCCCCCTGGAACTGAAGGCAGCTGGATGCCAGGAGGGCTGGAGGGAGCCCAGGGCTGAGCTGGACGTGCCAGAGAGCAGATGCCAGGGCAGGGACAGTGAACTTTGCCTGCCATCCCCAAGCTGCCCCGGCGAAGGCTGAGCCGTCCCACAGCCCCTCAGCCACCCCAAACCCCTCTGCCCCCACGGGCCACAGCCACCCCGGGGGGGGTGCCCAGGAACTCCAGGTTTCTCCCTGCTGCCTGTAATCCGTCTGGCCCTGATATAGCCACTGACCCGGGGGGAATCTAAATTTAGCAGGATGAATCCTGCCCTGTGTCCAGAGGGTCGGTGCCCTTGAGGCAGCAGGACAGCAGGGCTGGGGGTGTAAGGACAGGTCCCCCCTGCAAGGCAGAGCCCCAGGACACTGCAGAGCCTCTCCTGCAGGGCTGGGGCAGGGAGAGG